TCCCCCCCCCTTTTTTTTTTTTTTTTTTTTTTCTGGAGTTGCCATATGTTACAGCTATTTACCGTTTTATCTCCTATAAGCAGAAAATGGGATAAAAAAATCCTAGGATTATTTACTTTTTAGCCCTAGATTTTGTGTCTTGGTTTAACGTTTTTATTTCCAGATAAACCAGAATCTTAATAAATATTATCAGTGTAGAATAAAGAATTTATTTATGTTTGTACTATAAGATCTGTTTGAAAAGCTATTTGACAATTTAAATTTTGTGAACTTTTTACTCATACTGGTTTTTTCTATATGTAGATATTCTTTGAAATACAGGAGTTTTCTTTTTTTAATAATGAAAACCTAATCTTGGAGTCATATAGATTTCTCATGGTATATCTAAAATCCATTTGGGGTGGGGAGATTTTCGTGTGTTTGTGCATGTATGCTTGTTGAGTACTTCTTTTGTGCTAAGCACTTTAAATGGATTATGTGATTATGTATTTTAACCTTTATAACGACTGAAGTGGTTACTATATCTCCATTTTATAGATGAGAACACAGGATTTAAAGAGATTAAGGTCTGAAGTTTAAAACCAGAGAGTTTTTCTAAATCCTATGCTAAAAGGCACATTCCCGTCTCTGTATGAAGAGTAATAGTATTCAGGCTCCAGCACCAAACATGCAGGTGAAGGATATTTTAAACCAACACATGTCAGAATAGCCCACCTAAAACAAAGAAGTCTACTTAAAAAGTCTGACAAAATTGTTAGAGGGTGGAAATCAGGAAGAAAAAAATACTTTGGGAGCATCCTGCAAGAGATTAAAAAATCAACAGTGACATATCAGAAGCAGGAGTCAGTTGATTTATGTAGCAGAGAACATGGAAAGGAAATAACTATCAAGCTGAAGGAGTTAATAGCCTTAACCTTATTCTGAAGTGAACAAGTTGAAGGCAGTAGAGCAAATATTCATGATAGTTTAAGCCAGATTGATAAAATAAATGTAGATAAATCAACAAAATTACATAGCCTTCAAGGGAATTTTAAAGGAAATCAAAGACAACATTGTAGAACCATTGATTCAAAATGTGTAATAAGTAGCCGTGGTGCCAGAGTACAGGTTGAATACAAATGTAGATAGATGCCTATACTTAAGAAAGCTGGAGTAGCCCTCTGTAATGAGACCTGAACCACATCTCCAAACTAGGCAATCTTCTTTAGTGTTTAATAGTGTTGGCAAACTTTCTAAAATGGGCAGATTGAAATTATTTTAGACTTTGCAGAGTATGGTTTCTGTTGCAATTATTCAATTTTGTCATAGTAGTGCAAAAGCAGCCATAGGCAATATGTAAAGGAATAAACATGGCTGTGCTTAAACAACATTTATTTATAAAAATACTCAGCCAGTTTTTTTACCATTAGCCTATAATAAAGGAAAGAATCCCTCCCTAGACATCATTAAAATGTAGCCTTGTTCATGGTTTCTCCAAGGGAAAATAATATACTTACAGGTAGGATCAAATTTTTGAGTAGATAATTGGGAGGCACTTAACGGTTTTATTTTAAGACTGGGGTTGGGATGGAAGATCCTGCATTAATCGTAATGGTTAACATTTGAATGGTTACTATTGCTAGACAATATCATAGGCACAAGTTTGCCTGACACCAGTGCCTAAGTCATTAATGACTGAAATACATCACTCTGAGTATCTTACTGAATGCCCCCTCTTTTTCAATTGAATTTTTTTGGACAGAGGGTTGAATTTGGGGACTGGTTTATCTTGGATAGAAGACTGGAAATAAAGAATAAAAAGGAATAGACTATCTATGAGAGGTTCTGAGAATCTTTATGGATTCTCTGAATACTTTAGCCATACAAATAAATATAGCATTTAGAATCTTTATGAAGTGCACTTTGAATGTGGTGTAAGTGTGCCCAACATAATGACAGCTCTTACTTTTTCTCAGTATCCCTTTCATTCAACCCTGGCTCCCATTTATCATATCAGTGCCTTTCTATGGTAAAGTCTGTAATGATAGGATTGGGTGTGGGAATGGGGTGGGAAATAGTATTAAACTTCCTCATGGCCAGTCTTAAGTCCTTCTTCTTTCTTTGTTCCCAAAGGATCTGATTGTGCCCTTTTGACAAAATAGTACTAGACTTGAGTGATTAGTTTGTTAGTCAGAAATGTCGATTTGTATTTTTTCAGTCCTGCGTTTGCCTTTATCTTTCACTTTTGTCTAGGGAAAACAAAAAAATTGGGCAATTTCACTACCCCTCCCTATTTTTCTATTCTCTCTGGCAGTGATAATAACAGCCACTTATTACATGTTAGTGGAGTTGGGATTTGAATCTATGTCTGTTGGACCTCTAACATTGTAGTCATAACTAGGATGTTGATATCTTCAGATACTGTGGGTTTGCTTGAAGAACTGTAGGAGGAAGCAAGAAGAGGGAGTTTTGAAGTGAACTGAAAAGGAAAGGAGTTCTGTTTTATAGTAGATGGAAGGAAAAAGACTTGGGAAGAGGAAAAGATGGGAAGAAGAGAAAAAGGGTAGGAATTTTAAATGGAGCCAGCCAAAGCTAAAAAGTTTAGTTTCTATTACCAGGAACCTGTGGTCCTTTGATTCCTTGAAGCGCCCCAAGCAACTACTTGCAGTAGAAAATACATTGTCAGTATCTCCAGTATAACTTGAAGCAGTTTTCTTTTATAGAGGATGGTAGTTATATCCTAAAGCTATGTTGTCTAACACAGTAGCCAGTAGCCAGATTGGATTACTCAAATTAATTAAAACTTAAATAAAATTTAAGATTTAGTTCTTCACTTGCCACATTTCAAGTGCTTGATAGAACAATTCCCTATTGGGCAGCACTGTTCTGGAGAACTGAACTGTCTTACATACTTTGTTGCTTGAATGCACTCTAATGGCTGGCCTGGGGCTCTCATTTCCATGTATTCCAGGGTTTATGTGAGAAAATGAGTGTTAAGTCCCTGAAAACTGTTTTGTGTCAGTACTTTTTTTCATTCCACATTCTAAAAGTTGATGGCTTTTATGATAAATAAAATTTTAAGGTTAGATCATTCATTCTTCCCAAACTGTTTTATGAACATATTTGGAATGGTATTTTCAATATGTAACAGAGGTAATAGAAAAGGGCAACCTGGAAGGTAGAAGTACTCTAAGATAATTACATTAGGGATAATAGACTTTAAAAATATTTTAGCTTGGAAAGGTAGAACCTGGGAAGAGACATTAAAGATTGGAATTTGCAAATTAAAATAATCTGAAAAGTAAACAGAGTTTACCTAAATTATAGCGGGAACATCCATTCTTAGAAATTTATTTGAAGTAAACCAAAATTAAAAGAAAGTTCATTGTGACTGATAGATAGTTAACTTACAGAACTTTTTAGTGGAACTAATAAGTAGTTTAGGTAGACTATGACTTATAATTATAGAGTGAGTCATAAATAGTTAATTATGAAATCAGGTTATATCTAACTCTTCCACAAACCACAAGGAAGGATAGTCCTGGCCACGCACATCTTATTTCAGGTCTTTTATTGTCCACAAATTATTGGCTAAGACCATGAATCTCTATTGTATTCCTGTGTTCCTGTTACTGGAAATTCAAAGCAGAACTGGTATTAAAAACCCTGGATCCTTAGATTAAAACGTAGAGTCTAGTCAGCTAGAACATATAAACATGAACAAGTTGCAANCAGTAGCCAGTAGCCAGATTGGATTACTCAAATTAATTAAAACTTAAATAAAATTTAAGATTTAGTTCTTCACTTGCCACATTTCAAGTGCTTGATAGAACAATTCCCTATTGGGCAGCACTGTTCTGGAGAACTGAACTGTCTTACATACTTTGTTGCTTGAATGCACTCTAATGGCTGGCCTGGGGCTCTCATTTCCATGTATTCCAGGGTTTATGTGAGAAAATGAGTGTTAAGTCCCTGAAAACTGTTTTGTGTCAGTACTTTTTTTCATTCCACATTCTAAAAGTTGATGGCTTTTATGATAAATAAAATTTTAAGGTTAGATCATTCATTCTTCCCAAACTGTTTTATGAACATATTTGGAATGGTATTTTCAATATGTAACAGAGGTAATAGAAAAGGGCAACCTGGAAGGTAGAAGTACTCTAAGATAATTACATTAGGGATAATAGACTTTAAAAATATTTTAGCTTGGAAAGGTAGAACCTGGGAAGAGACATTAAAGATTGGAATTTGCAAATTAAAATAATCTGAAAAGTAAACAGAGTTTACCTAAATTATAGCGGGAACATCCATTCTTAGAAATTTATTTGAAGTAAACCAAAATTAAAAGAAAGTTCATTGTGACTGATAGATAGTTAACTTACAGAACTTTTTAGTGGAACTAATAAGTAGTTTAGGTAGACTATGACTTATAATTATAGAGTGAGTCATAAATAGTTAATTATGAAATCAGGTTATATCTAACTCTTCCACAAACCACAAGGAAGGATAGTCCTGGCCACGCACATCTTATTTCAGGTCTTTTATTGTCCACAAATTATTGGCTAAGACCATGAATCTCTATTGTATTCCTGTGTTCCTGTTACTGGAAATTCAAAGCAGAACTGGTATTAAAAACCCTGGATCCTTAGATTAAAACGTAGAGTCTAGTCAGCTAGAACATATAAACATGAACAAGTTGCAAATTGTTGAACTGGAGAGAGGAGGGGAGCAGAGAGAGAGAGAGAGAGAGAGATAAACATTGATTTGTTGTTCCACTTATTTGTGCATTCATTGGTTGATGTCTGCATATGCCCTGGCTGGGGATCAAACCTGCAACCTTGGCATATTGGGACAATACTCTAACCAACTGAGCTACCCTGCCAGGGCTAAGTTTAATATTCTTAATGGAGGAAATGTGAAAATAGTGTAGATTTAATTGTTCAATAGGACATAAATTATTTAGCTATATGAAAGGATGGTATATTACATCTTGTGAAAACTTCCTATGTTTTAAAAATATTGTTGATTTTCAAATTGACTTTTACCACATTGAATTAACTCCAGCTTAAATATATTGTTATTTTTAGATATTTAGGATAATGGGGGAGAGGTTACAATATGGCTTTCCTCAAATAAAGAATTACACTCAATTATAGACTTCCCCCAAATAAAGAATTATGCTCAATTATAGATCATACAAGAATAAAATATGATTTTATTTTATTTTTTTTAATGTTTTTATTCATTTCAGAGAGAGGAAGGAAGAGAGGGAGAGATAGAGACATCAGTCATAAAAGTCATTGATCGGCTGCCTCCTGCACGCCCCCTACTGGGGATCGAGCCGACAACCCAGGCATGTGCCCTGACCTGAATTCGAATTGTGACCTCCTGGTTCATGGGTCGACGCTCAACCATTGAACCACGCTGGCCAGGCAGGAACACACTATGACTCTAAAATCAACTACATTGGGAAGTTGTCTAGAACACTGTTTCCTAAGCTTCAGTGTACATAAGAATCATTTATAGATCTTGGTAAAATGCAGATTCTTACTCGCTAGGTGTGGGGTGGTGCCTGAGGTATCCTGCATTTGTAACAAGTTCCCAGGTGATATTGATACTCTTTCTGGGTGAATATCAAGTAGAGTAACATATGACTATCTGAATTTTTGTTTGTTAAATATGTCTTTATTGGTTTCAGAGAGGAAGGGAGAGGGACAGAGAGAGGTAGAAACATCAATGATGAGAATCATTGATCGGCTGCCTTCTGCCAGCCCCCCACTGGGGATCGAGCCAGAAACCCAGGCATGTGCCCTCACTGGGAATCAAACTGTGATCTCATGGATCATAGGTTGATGCTCAACTGCCTGAGCCACGCCAGCCGGGCAACTATCTGAATATTTTTAAAGTAATATTCTGTCTCAGCAAGTCCATCATTTCTAGTTGCTCATGTCAGAATACTTCACAATTATCCTGGTCTCTTGTTCTCTAACACATACCCCACGTTTGATCTTGTCAGCAAATCTTTATGGCTGTCGTTTGAAAACACAGCTGGAATCTGAGCACTTTTCATCACCCTTGCTACTACTATGGTACAAGCCATTGTCATGTCCCCTCTAGATTATTGCAGTAGTCCCCTTGCTGGCCTCTGCTTTTCCCTTTGCCACCTCTTCTGTTTAAAATCCACAGGCCCCTCACTCAAAGAAGCAAATGTATTTACCTTAGTCTTTAAGGTGTTGCATGACTTTATGTTCTATCACCTCTCTCCTTATCTACTTTTCCTCTCTTTCACTCTATTCTAACTGCATTAATTTCTTTTTGTTCCTTGAGCACACCAGACCTGCTCCTCTACTCTGTCTTTGGACTTTCATATTTGCTGTTCTTTTTGCGTACAGTACAGCTCCTCTAGATACCCACATAGCTCTCTCCCTTCTTTCAGGTTGCTAATTCACATGCCACTTTATTAGAAAGGCTTTTTCTAAATACTATGTATGAAATAACAATTTCTCCACTTTCTCACTTATTAGCCATGCTAATTGTATGGCTTTTAAAAATAATTGTATTGTTTTATTTTTTTCTCCACAGTACTTCTCAACATCTGACACACCAGATACTTTACTTTGTTTATTTTATCTCCACCAGTAGACTTAAAGGCAGGAATTTCTGTCTTAATCAGTTTTGTACTTAGAGCATTGCCTAATAGTATGTCAGTAGCACTCAGTAAATTTTTGAGTTAAAAAAAATCCCACAATATGTCATTGAGCCTCTCTTTAAATACCTTCATTGATAGATCATTCTACTTCTCTTCAGAACAGCCCATTCCATTTTAAGATAACTGCTAACCTTCTTCTTAATCTTTAGGTTCTTTCAGGTTAAACATTCTTATTGCCTTACCTTTCTGCATATGATACGGTTTCCAGGGCTGTCACCATTTTAGTCATCTTCCTGGACAGTCATCATTTTGTCCCTAAAGAACAGCACTAGCACTAAAACAGATGTTGCACATGTAGGCTGCGAACAACATCTTGTTTTTGACATTCTACTTTTATTAAGGTAGGCTGTGATTGAATCACCTCTTTTTAAGTAACTCTAACCCTGACTCATTTCAGATTTTTAACCCACTAAAACCTTTAAATTATTTTTATATTTGCTACTAATTTTTTTATCTTCTGCTTTACAGTTGGTTTTGGGACCAAAGTCAGGCCTTTGCATTTCTTCGTATTTAACCTAATAGAGAATTTTCCTGGGCAATAGATTCTTTTAATGTAGAAACTAGGATGTTTAAATTATTTAGGAAACTAATAAAAATTACTTAATATACAAATGGGAGAATAACAGATAAGAAATTGGTGATTTCTTGTGCCTAGATAATCCAAAATGTATTTGAATAGTTCATTGCAATCACGTCTTGTATCAATTCAAGAAAGAATTCTAAGAGTTGATTTAAAAAACAATTTTACCTCATGCATTTGTTTCTGTTGACTAACAAATTAATTCTCGTTCCCACGTTTCTCATTTGCCTCTTGTAATCACCATTTTTCTAGTTCTCTAGGCCAGAATAATCTTTGATTTCTTCCCTGTATTTATTTAGTCATCAAATCTCAGAAATTCTCAGCTCTTTAATTTCTTTCTTTTCTGTTCACTTCACAGCCAGTTACCCTAGCTATGCAAATCTCTCGGCTTCTAATATCTTCCCACTGTAATCCATTCTGTGCTTTGCTGGCAGGTAATTCTTTCAAAAGATTCATTTACTTCACTTTTATCATGTCAGTTGTCTTCAGGGGAATCTATGAGATTGAATTTAAACTTCACAGCCAGCTGTTAGAGATACTTCTATAATCTAACCCTACTTGATTTACATTGCTCTGCTTATTGCTTTCGTTACTCATTGTAATCTTTCAGATGAACTTTTTGTCATACGTGCTCATCCTTCCTCAGTTCTCTCTCTCTCTCTCACACACACACATTTTCACTCACTCACTCACTCACTCACTCACTCACTCACTCACTCTTGTTCTTGTCAAACTGACCTAACTAAATTCTATTTTTTTCCTTTTACTACGTTGCTCCTGTTTTGTTTTGTTTTTTAATATATCTTTATCGATTTCAGAGAGAGGAAAGAAAAGGGAGAGAGAGAGATAGAAACATCAATGATAAGAGAGTCATTGATTGGCTGCCTCCTGCACACCTCTGACTGAGGATTGAGCCCGCAACCCAGGCATGTGCCCTGACCGGGAATCGAAACCCGATTGCCTGGATGCTAGGTTGACTCTCAACTGCTGAGTCACGCCCAGCCGGGCAACATTGCTCCTTTGTTGCCGTGAACTCCTCAATATATATAACTTATCACCTTTAGTGAAAAATCTAGTCTAAATTGATCTCTTTTTTTCTAAGCTCCAATTATATTTATGTCTGACCACACAATTTATCATTTAGTCTTTGTTGCTTAATACTTATGTAAGTCTTTTCCTTTCAGTAAGACTGTGTGCCTGATGGCAAGGAGTATAAAAGTGTACTGGATTAGCCACAGAATTTACAGGCTTGTGCTGTGTGTTCTTTTATGTGTAAAATAATTTCTTCCAGGTTTAGGTCTTTTTTTATATTATTGAGAGAAGGCATACATTAAAAGTTTCTATTATAATTCATCCTATAGGAAACCCCTTTTCAAGGAGAAATGAAGAAGAAAACTGTCTATACCCTAAGTGTGGGAGATCAGGATTATGAAGATATGGAAGGTAACTTCATTTTTATAATGCTTGTGTGTGAAGAGCAAAACTTAGTGTTTTCGAACTGTTCATTTGTATACGCTTCATAATACACAAGGAGTTTTTATTTTACTTATTTTTATTCTTAAATTCTGAAATAAGCTGCTTGAATAAGAAGTGCACACATTTTTTTTCCCTCCTCACATGTCTTATTTTCAATTGATCAAGGTTTTTGGTTTCTTGAGCTTTTTTCTTTTTCTTCCTAAATTTTCGCTCCCTACTTGTTTAGGAGGTACATACTTTCTCTGTTTTATTTTTAAAATAGAATTGATATTTTCCTCTGTCTGAAGTTAATATTTTTGAAAGTTACTATTTAATCTTCACTGCCAACAGAACCTTAGAACACTTTAACTCTGATCATCCTACTCTACATTTATAGGTTATTCATCCATCATTTTGGTGGTTTTGTTTGTTTGTTTGGTTTCGTGTTTTGTTGTGTTTTTTCAGAACACCACAAGTTAAATTATATTTGATACAGATATTTGAGGGATTGTTTTTCTCCACTCCTTTTCTTCTGAAAAAACCTTAAGTTACTTTACTGAAAAGTCTATTGGTGATTAACTCTTAAGTTTTTTTTCTGTTTATTTTCTCCTCTTCGAAACTATTCAAAGATAGATATACAATTCTGGACTGATAATTTTTTTCCCCTTCCTATCACTTATTTAGCCATTTTAAAATTTTCTTCCTTGCTGTCAAGAAATCTCTTTTCAGCCTTAATTGTCATTGGCTTTTAGATAACCTGTCTTTTCCCTCTTTTGCTTTTAATAGTGTTTTCACCTTTAATGTTTTACAGTTTTGCTACATTGTTTCTGGGCACAGATTATTTTCATTTCTTCTGTATAGCATACCTTGTGTATCCTTTATCTGTTGGATCATGGTGGGGTTTTTTTGGTTTTTGTTTATTTTATCTTTTCCCAGTCATTACTGCTTTCGCCATTGCCTCTTCTTTATTCTTTTTCCTCTAAACTTCAATTAGTATGTTAGACTTTGGTCTGACCTCATTTTCCAACCTCTCTTTCACAGGTTACATCACCTTGTGTGTCTCTTACATTCTAGACAGTTTCCTCAAATCTCTCTTCCAGTTCACAAATATTTTTTCTTCTAGGTCTAGTCTGCTGTTCAGTCATTCTATGTAATATTGGAAAATTCTTATATTTGAAGCCAATGTGTATCTAAATGAATGTATAATAAATAAATAAAGATATATAAATATAAAAGTAAATAAATCCAAATAAATTATTGTTTCTGCTTATTCTTACTCAAGGCAGTTTTTTTCTTGGGTTTGATAATGTTTGATTATTACTTCATATTTGATAAATTTAATCTGTGGAATCCTGGGGGACTAAATTAGGGATGCTTTCCTTCAGAGGATTTGTATTTGTTTTTCCCTGAACCCTTGCTGGAACCACTTTGAGAGTCTTGGCTTACCATGGGAGCCTAGCACCATTTGAGAGTCTTGGCTTACCATGGGAGCCTATCAAAAACAGTTTCTCCACCTAGGTTGTCCTAAGTGTTAGTCACGAGATCGGAACACTAGTGTGGACATTTGCTCCCAGGACAATCCCAGGTTTTCTATTTGTGTGGTGTATACTGTTAACATTTTGGCTGACTGTTTCTTTATTTCTGTTTTATGTTGAATCTTGATGTTTCCTTTACTTACTTTTTTTTTTTTTTAATATATCTTTATTGATTTCAGAGAGAGGAAGGGAGAGGGAGAGAGAGAGAAACATCAGTGATGAGAGAGTCATTGATCGGCTGCCTCCTGCACGCCCCCGACTGAGGATGGAGCCCGCAACCCAGGCATGTGCCCTGACTGGGAATCGAACCCCGATTGCCTGGATCCTAGGCCGACGCTCAACCACTGAGCCACGCCCGGTTGGGCTCCTTTATTTACTTTTGAGTCAGCAATACATAACTTTGTATGTTGGTTGCATTGCTGGTGGGTGTTTAAATTAGTGCAAACCCTAAGGGATATAATTTCTATCTATTCAAATTAGAAATGTACATACATGTTGATCTAACAATTTCATTTTTAGGAATTTAATCCTATAAATACACTATTAAAAATGTGAAATGACTAAGTTATTCATTGCAGCATTGTTGTAATAGCCAAAGGTTGAAAACAAGTGAATGTTCATCAATAGGTCAAACAAACAAAAGCAAACTGGTGTGTATAGTGCTCTAGCATTTGTGTGAAGGAGGTTTGAAAGGACATATATTAAGATTTGCTTGTCTATGCATTAAAAAAATCTTTGGAAGAACAGAGAAGAAACTAAAGTTGTGAAATGTTGGTTGGAACTGGATGGATAGGTGTAGATATGAATGGGAGATTTGTCACTACCATATAACCTTTTTTTACTTCTAAATTTTTCAACCATGTGACTATTATTTTAAAATTAAATTCATGAAAACTTCTTTTCACTTCCTCATTAAAAAATAAAAATTAATATTGGGGGTATTGTGCTTAATGAGTATGTTTATTATAATGTGTCTAGATCTAATTACTTTGTAGTAGAAAGGCCCTTTATAGTATCTAGTCCATGATACTGCCACAGAAGTCATTTGGTCTGGAGACCTTGAAAGCATATATGGCTGCTTTACATTTCAGGTGAAGAAGACAAAGATAATACTGCTGCCACTGGTCTGTTGTACAGTGAAGCTGACAGATGTCCAATATGTCTTAACTGCCTATTAGAGAAGGAAGTTGGTTTTCCAGAAAACTGTAATCATGTCTTCTGTATGACCTGTATTCTTAAATGGGCAGAGGTGAGTTTTAATATAAATTTTAAGTAAGTATTAAATACTACTGTATTTTAGTTTCCTACCATGATCTCATTCCAGTCAGTCTAAAGAGTTGACACTGCCTTTCATAAATTATTTCACAGTAATAGTGTTCCCCAGATAAGGGAAGTTTTCTGTAATTAGTTTTTCAGNNCTTTTTTCTTTTTGCTCTTCTGGTTGGGTGTTTTTTGTTTCCTCATGTTCCAAATTGCTGATTTGATTCTCAGCGTCCTCTACTCTACTGTTGATTCCCTGTAAGTTATTCATTTCATTTTGTGTAGCCTTCATTTCAAATTGGTCCGTTATTATGTCATCGATTTTCTCAATTATTTTCGTCATACTCTTACTAATGTCCTTGAGCATCCTTATAACCATTATTCTCAACTCTGTATCTGTTAGCTTGCTTGGATCTATTTCATTTAGTTCCTTTTCTAGAGATTTCTTCTGTTCTTTCCTCTGTGACATGTTTCTTTGCCTCCACATTTTGGCTGCTTCCTGGTGTTTGTTTCTGTGTATTAGGTAGAGCTGCTATGTCTCCTGGAATTTGTAGAGTGACTTTGTGTAGTAGGTGTCCTGTAGGGTCCAGTGGCTCAGCCTCCCCTGTCACCTGAGCTGGGCCTTCTAGGTGCTCCCCTGTGTGGGCTGTGTGCACTGTCCTGTTGTAGTTGAGCCTTGGTTGCTGTTGGCGTCACTGGGAGGAATTGACCCCCAGACCAATCAGCTCTGAGGACCCACTGCAACTACAGCCAGAGAGCTGCTGTGCTGGAGACACCCCTGTGGAGCAGGATTTGCTTCAGTGGAGCTTTGGTGTTCAAGTGCACCCTTTGAGTGTGTCACTGGTTGATGTGGTAGGGTTGTAATCCAGCGTGGTCAAGTCTGATCACCAGGTGCACTGTCTCTGGGGCCTCCCGGGAGGTGCAAAGTCAGCCTGTGCCAGTGCCTTGCCCAGGGCCACCCAGCATGAGCTACACAGCAAACTGTAGATGGCTGCTACTTGTGCTAGGCTTGGGGGTGTCCAGGAGAGGCCAAGCTATGAGCCAATGCAGGCTGCCTCTAGTGCCAGGCCTGGGGCCACTTATCAAGCCGTATGGGGCCCGCTGCTGCTTGTTTGAGAGATTTTAGGAAAGTCCTAAGCATGGGGCTTGAGAGGCCACTTGCACGGAAAGCCATTAGAAACAGCCTGGATGAGCTTGCAGGTGGGGAGGGGCGAGGCCAAAGGTGTGAGTCTGGTGCTGACGATTCAAATGTGGCCCCAGCCGGCAGGCTGTGTGCGGGGAGGACTTGCCAAAGTAGCAGTAGCCGCCGCCAGCCCTTCTGCCTGGGAGGAAGCTGCCCCTCCACCTCTCGCCTGGATTTCAGGCAGGTTAGTTCCTCCCCAGGTGTCCCAGGTCCTTTCAAGCTGCTGCCCGGCGCCGGGCTCAGAGGGAGCGTCCGAGTGAGTCCGTGCCGGGCCCTTTAAGAGATGCTGCTGGGGCTCCCGCAGCCTCCGCGACCCTCAGCCACAGTCTCCGCTGGTTTCACAGCCCGAAGTTGTGGGGATGTCTCTTCCCGGCCCTGGAGCCCTGGGCTGGGGGCCTGCTGTGGGGCTGGGACCCGTCACTCCGGGAAACCCCCACCGCCTGTGTTCCCTCCCAGGTTTCAACCGCAGCACTGGGTGTGGGCCCGTGGCCGTGTCTCCACCATCCAGCCCTGATCCGCCCGTGTCTCCGCCCCTCCTACTGGTCTCGGTGCTTCTTCAGTTCCCTGGTTGTAGGGCTTCTGTTCAGCCAGATTTCAGGAGGCTCTGAGGGATGGTGGTTCTGTATTTTATTTGTAATTTTGATGTGGTTGCGTCGAGGCGGTGGGTGCAGCTGTTACCTACGCCTCTAGCTTGTTTCTCTCTCCGACAGTGCAATTTTTTTAAAAAAAAAAGGACACTCCAGAGGCATTCTGAGATTCCAAACAAATGAATGGGCCATAGGGCATCAGCTTTCTAACCTGCAGGGGAGAAGTCCTCATCGTGGGGCCCTGGAGCATCATCTCGGGGTCCCCCCTCCCCCCCCCCC